TAAGGTGGGGCATCCTAGTTTTACTTAAAATGATGAGAAGGATGGAATTGATCCCGAGGATGTTCAAAAGGAAAAATATACATACATTACAACAATAGAAACATGAATATTTGGATATTAGGCCAAAAAGGAATCACAAATCAATTCAAAATTTTGGGTCAGACAAACCTCTGAGGCATTGTGGGCAGGTAAACTTAGTGAAATACGCACTCTCGATTGAGGGTGATAAGTCAGTAACCTTAAATCAAGATATCAAACACAAAGATAGAGAGATTTGGTCGGTTGCTTTGGAGTAAAAAATGCAATCTCTTCATAAGAATAAGATATAGGAGGTAATCTCATTGCTTGTGGGAAAGATTGCTATTAGTTGTAAGTGAAGTACAAAAGAAAAGAGGATCCTCACAAGTCTGATTGTATAAGGTATAAAACTTGGCTAGTGGCCAAGGGACTTGCACAAAAAGAAGGAATTGATTACAATGAGATATTTTCTCTAGTAGTAAAACATGTTCCTAATAGAGTGTTTTTAGTATTGTTACTCGTGGTGATCTTGAGCTAGAACCACTTGATGTAAAGACAACCTTCTTATATAATGATTTGGATGAGGAAATATATATGTATCAATCTGGGGGATACAAGATTGAGGGTAAAGAAAGTCAGGCATGTCATTGAGAAAATAATTTTATGGATTGGAATAATCTCCTCTCCAATGGTACAAGTGATTTGACTCATTTATGTCAAAACAAGGTTTCTCTAAAAGTGATTATGATTGTTGTTGTACTTGTCAAAAAGTACAGGAGTGCATGATACCCCTAAGCTTGTAGGTATGACCAAAGGCCTTAGTGGATTTATAATCGATATGGCTTGCCCACAATGACAAGGTGCTCTATTTGGCAGTGTTTATGGTGATGAGAGGTGGTCATCTCATGTGAGGTGATATGTTTTATGTTTATGTTGGGTAAGTTATGATCAGTCCCTTTAACCCTAAGGTTGGGGTATTTATATGGGCGTCTTGGGCCTAGGGTTTCCTAGGGAATAATAACCGCCCACTCAGTCAATGTTGGAGCATTAAATCCTTATTTCCTAGGGAGATGTGAGTTAGACTATTGACCCTGACTTCTCTCTGACCAAAGAACGTCTTTTCCTACATTTCCCATGATTGGGCAAGTAGGGAGAACTCAAGACGTTGCGGTCCCTGGGCATTAGGTAGGAGTCTCCCCTTAAAGGAAATTGGAACTTACCCTCCCTTAATAGGTCTTTTACAAATGTATTACTATATAGTCTCTCAAGCACAAGGGCTTTGAGAAAGGGGTAAGTTCTTTGAATAACATTGCATTGGGGGTGTCTTTCCATGGGGACCCAAGTCCCTTAAGAAATATTATATGTTGAGCCTTGGCTGATGAGACTTCCAAGTCCCTCAAGAAATATTATTGTGTTACTCAAGTGACTTCAAACATAAGAGGTTGAGTGAATTGCGACACAAAAAGTTCTTAAAGAGTTTTAAAAAATGGTTTTTAGATTGATTTTAAGAAGAGGTATAAAGAAGAAAAGAATGATAAGTGAATAAGAATAGGAAAATAAAGAGTTGAGAGACAAGAGAAGAACACAACATATTTTATATTGGTTCTGTTAGGTTTGGGCTCCCTTCCTATATGGAGAAAAGCCTAAATATTATTAGTGCATTTGTCCCACGTATTTAAGTGGAGACAAATTTAGGGTTGTGAGAGATAGAGAGAAAAGAAGACTTCAAAAGAGAGAAAAGTGAAGATAACCCTATTTTCATTTTTTTGCAACCAAACTCACTAAATCGGCAATTTGAGATTTGTTAACCATTGGATTGAGCTCAAATTTGGCGGACAGGTTCGCAACACCTGTACCTGACTTTTGACCATTCAAATCTTCAAAACAAAGTCTGAGTTGAGAGATATCTGCTTCGTTCTGAAGCTGCATATTCAGACATGTTTTCAGCTTCTTGATTCTTAATTGAAAGCTAGTTTGCTTTGTGATTTGCAGTTGTTAGCATTAGTTTATGAATCACTATAAGAATCCCGTGTACTCTTATTTGATTATAGTGAAGCTATTTATTTGGTCTAGATGACTCATAGTTTTTACTCTCATATTGAGGGGTTTTCCAAATTAAAATATTGGTGTTCTTTTGTGTCTTTATTTATTTGATTTGCTACCATTTTTTTAATCGTAATTGGTTCTTACAAATTTTGAGAATTTTATATCTGATGCGTATATGTATGTTATTGTGTGTTAATTTCCCATTAAGTTTAGCTAAAAACCATGAGGCCTACGTCTAGCTTCGAAGGATTACCTTGAGATTTCCACTATTATATGACTTTTAACACGAGATTAACTTACAACCTCCTTACGCCAAACTTTTATCTCAAATTCAACTTGTAACCTCACAGTTTAAAAGAGCATTTATCTCTTATTTTATAATTACAAATCTGAAGGATAAAACCACATTTATAGAAGAAAAACTCAACTTATTTTTTTTGTCTCAATACTAAATGGAAAGGAGTCAAAGAGGTAGAGGTAGATAAAGACCTAGGAAAAATATTAGAGAAATTGTTAAGAAGGATCTTAAAATGTACAATTTGGATAAAAACATGGTCTGAAATTGAACATTATGGCTGAAGTTGATCTATGTAGCCGACCTCACGTAGTGGGAGAAAGTTGGGTTGTCGTTGTTGTAATCTCAACATAAAATAGTATTTTAAATGTATAAGTGAAATATTCATAAATTTTGTGTGTTTTCAAAAGAACACAATACCTATTTATATAGTAAAATATTTGACCAATAAAGGATATTTGCAGGGTTGGATCCACCTCATAATAGATTAGTCTACAATCATAATCGATTATGACATCGTAAAATAAGGAAGATTTTATTGTATATAAACATAATGTATTATAAAGATTCCTTAATCGAATATTGAGCGAGTTCGCCTCCATAATGGATTGCATAAGTTCCACAATCGATTATATGACAATTTTTGCTATATAATAGATTAAGTAAACATTATATTCGATTATACTTCGGTTTTAAAGAGATTTAGCAAAATTAAAGTGATTTTAAGAGAAGCTTTGAAAACATATGAAGTTTGGAAAAAGAGTTTGTGTGTGTGTTATGATCTTAGTACTTTGAGCGTGTCACTTTCAATATTGGGTCAAGAGAAACACAAGTGAGAAAGACACCACATATGCTCAACTAACCACACTTATAACCAATATGGGACTCCAACTCATTTCGATTTCAACGAAACGAAACACCACTTACTGGGCAACATTAATATTGAGCAAAGAGCAACACAAGTAAGAGAGACACCACATATTCATCCAAAATCTTAAGGTGATAAGTGTATGGATTCTCCAACTTATAAATGTTCAACTATCCACACTTATAAGCAATGTGAGACTCCAACTCTCACTTGACATATTATTATTCTCAACAGACGACACTTTTTTGCTAATGATATTATTTAGCATTTGATACTTTTGCACCAATGATCGAAAAGTTCTTGTCTTTTAATTTGTTTAAAACTTTCATCTTTGTTTGATGATATTTATAATATTTATGTTAATCTTTTTGTCACCATCAAAACTTGTTATACTTATTCAACAAATAAAACTATATGTTAATTATTTACACATTATTTAAATATTACTACAAAAATTAAATATAATAATATTTTTTAATAAAATATTTTTTTAAAACAACTTACACAAAAATATATGATGTTTTGTTATTTACATTTCAAACAAACAAGTAAAATAAAATAAGAGAATATAAACATATAAACTTTTTTTTTGTTATCCCAATCACATCAAAGAATATGATTCGTTAGTATGCCTTTTAATTTATTGATTTTCTCCTACTCTTTATTCTATTAATTATTTTATTATTAGTTTTAACTTTTATACATCTTTATTATAAATTGTTTTTTAATTTATTTAAATTTTGTAAGCTTCCTTTGAAGAAGGTCTATAAATAGACTTCATTTCCATCCGAACCAAGCAACTCAACTCATTCTTCTCTTTCATTTCCTACGCTTCTCGTTCTCTCTATTCTCCTTTGTATTTCGCATTCGTAAGTAAGCACTTTATTTTCTCTGCCAATTATAATCGCTTAATCTTTAAGCTGTTTCGTGTTTTCTTCATCGAATTCTATCAATTCAGGTTCGTTTTCTTCCACTGTCATATATTTATTTCTCTTCCTTTTCTCTTTATATTAATTTGATTTTGCCTAATTTTTCTGATTAGACTTGTGCAGTTTCCCTAATTTTTCTGTAGAAGTGTTTTTCTATTGTATCTATCCAAAGTTCTCGCTGATTCTTAATTATCAGTTTCTAGGAATGCATAACTTATATGAATCACTATAGTAGAAATTGGTAGTAATTTGAGAAAATAAAAGTGATTATATGTGATTGCATGTTTGGTTCTGCTTTGAAAAAAATTGATGTTAATGGAATTGATTATGTAAAATTGATGTTCATGGTTGTTGTTGTACCAACAGTTTGTGGCTTTGTTAAGTTGTCTATTGGCTGTTGTGAAGCAGGTTTGAATGATCTAATGGAATCCAAAACTAGTAAGAAGAAATCCAGTAGTAGTAATTCATTGTTCTACGAAGCTCCCCTTGGCTACACTATTGAATACGTTCGCCCAAACGGTGGAATCAAGAAGTTCCGATCAGCTGCTTACTCACACGTAAGTTGTAACTCTCGTGATTAAATGATGATAATTATATAGACTTGCTAGAGGGAAAACCTATTTGATTAGTACCCTGTGCTAATTTACTAATCCATGTGGTTTCTAATTTTGTGCAGTTCTCAAGGAAGCCATCCTGAAATTGATCTACTTTGCGTGGAACCGTTTTTTTAGTTGCTTTTATTTTCATTAGGCTTATAATAATTCATTACTCTACTTCAGTTGTGCTTTCTCTGTTCTCTGTTTTTCGGGTTCTGGTGGTGTTCGATTCTTTTTTCTGAAACAATATGGCCATGGAAGTTTCTGCAATCGGCTTTGAAGGGTTTGAAAAGAGGCTAGAGATATCATTTTTCGAACTGGGAATATTTGTGGACCCTGAAGGAAAGGGTCTTAGGTCTCTAACAAAATCCCAGATAGACGAGATTCTAGGACCTGCAGAATGCACCATTGTTTCCTCACTATCAAATGAAAAGGTTGACTCTTATGTTCTCTCTGAGTCCAGCCTTTTTGTTTATCCATATAAGATCATAATCAAAACCTGTGGTACTACCAAATTGCTGCTTTCGATTCCACCTATATTGAAATTATCCGAGGCACTTCCTCTCGGTGTTAGATCGGTAAGATACACTCGTGGAAGTTTCACTTTTCCAGGTGCTCAGTCATTTCCACATCGCAGCTTCTCCGAGGAAGTCGCAGTTCTTGATAGCTATTTTGGGAAGCTTGGATCAGGAAGCATGGCTTATATTATGGGTGGTTCAGACAACTCACAGAAATGGCATGTTTACTCTGCTGCTTCAGAATCTGTGAGCTTAATTGATTCTGTTTACACTCTCGAGATGTGCATGACCGGTTTAGATAGAGAGAAAGCATCGGTTTTCTATAAAGAACAGTTTAGTTCAGCAGTTCTGATGACTGCAAATTCTGGTATTAGAAACATTCTTCCAGATTCACAAATATGTGATTTTGATTTTGAACCGTGTGGATATTCAATGAACTCTGTAGAAGGACCTGCTGTTTCTACAATTCATGTTACTCCGGAAGATGGATTCAGTTACGCCAGCTTTGAGACATGCGGGTATAATTTGGAGCTGATGAATCTGAACCAATTGGTTGAGAGAGTGTTGACATGCTTCCAGCCGAATGAATTTCTGATAGCTGTGCATGTGGACGTTGAGAGCAATTCATTTGCCGAGAACTGTTTGGTGAATGTTAAGGGATACTGTCGTGAAGAGAGGTTTTACCAGGAACTTGGAAGAGGTGGCTGTGTTGTCTTCCAGAAGTTCACGAAGATTTCTCGATGCAGTTCACCTGTTTCAACTCTGAAATGCTGGAAAGCAGAAGGGGAAGAGTAGTATATCAATTTAGTGTCTTTGATGGTTTTTTGTGTTCTTAAGTATAAATAAAGTTGGCTTTTCAGGCCTTTTCTGATGGTACTTGGATGACTTGACGTACCATTGTCGTTGGTTGTTTCTACATTGTACAGTTTGGTTGTTATTTTCATTGACCGTTGATTTGAATAATTATGCATGATGTTTGATTATATCTTTTAGACTTGTTTTTCTCACTATTCATATAACACTTGTTATAATGTAGTAATGATTACTTGTAATTTTATTGACAATTTGATTGTTGAAAGCTATCCCAATTTGATTAACTTGTTGTGCAAGACTCTCATTTTATGTTTGATGATTCTAATCATCTTATTTAGACTCATCCTCTTCTAGAAATTTTAGTTAAAAATATTTACTTGTTCTACAAATCAAATGGTCACGTGCCTTGAACTAAAATCACTGGCATGTTAACATTTCCTATCTAAGTCTCTTCTATTTTAAAGAATGTCCTCAAAAAGCTTCCCCAACAAACTTCCTACTAATGATAATCTAGAGGAAGACAGTTAGTTTAACGTGTACTTTATGCCAACAAGATATCAAATGTAATGTTCATCTATTTTTCTCTGATAGGTTTGCTTAAGATATTTGACATTGGCTTAGCGGCTTGTTCAAATTTAACTTGACTTATTATTCCACTAACCAAGTCCTCTTCGATATAATCTGATTTCAAGCTAACTAAAATGAGTTTCAAAAAGCATAACATTGTGTCTTGAAACTTAAGAAATAGATGAGAGAATTGTTTGATTCTAACTTCATAGATGATTTGTATTAGGGATAAATTTAATAGTTTGTTAAAGTTTGTTAGGTTTGTTAGAGTGTAGGGTTGATCTTATTTTTAAGTGTTATTAGTTTGTTAGGGTTTATGCTATTTTCAAGCTCTGAAAAATAGATCAACAACCTATATATAAAGGTATGTCATGAGTCATAAAAAACAATAATAATACAATATATTTTTCAAGTTAACTTTCAATTATGGTATCCGAGCACTCTTCTGATTCAGAAGACATATTTAAGAAGAAAAATACTTCCAAACTTGAAAACATGAATATTGTTTCAATTGAATACTTGATAGTGGTGTTTCACACCACATAACTCATTTGATCTCAATATTAAAAAAAATCATAAAATTAGATAAATCTTTCTACATAACTACACCAACAGGGGTTTCAACCTTAATTGAAAATATGGGGGATGTGAATTTATCAAGTTTCCTTACGTTAAAAGATGTGTTATTGGTTCCTGACTTTATATGCAATCTGATTTCAATTTATAAACTAACATATGATTCAAATTGTTATGTGATTTATGATCAAAATTCTTGCACAATACACGACCAAGCCTCGAAGAGGAACACTGAATCAGGTGACATGCATGAAGGGGTTTATGTGTTCATAAAACAACATCAACAAGGCTTCATGGGTGCATCTAAGAAGGATATGACAACCGTATGGAACATCAGAATGGGACATTCATCTAATCAAGTCCTTCAACATATTTTACATTTAGTCAAATGCAATTTTGATAGAGAAAATTGTTATGATGTATGCCACAAGGAAAAACAATGTAGAAACTCTTTCCCTTTAAGTATTAATAAAGTTGAAGCACCTTTTGAATTGATTCACTGTGACTGATGGGGGAAATAATGTACTGCCACAAAGAATGGATCACATTACTTTCTAACCATTGTAGAGGGCTACACTCATGACATATGGGTATATTTAATGAAGCACAAGACAAAGACTTTACAACATTTAATTAGTTTCAACAATCTAATCAAAAGAAAGTTTAATATGCATATCAATAGGATTAGGAGTGACAATGAGACAGAGTTTACTAACTTTGATTTCAAGTGTTTCCCTAAAAAAGAAGGGATCCTGCATGAAACTTCTCGTGTTGCAACACCTTAATAGAATGGACGTGTGGAATGCAAATATAGAAAAATTTTGAACATAGCACGAACCTTGCGTTTTCAAGAAAATCTTCCATTGCATTTTCGGGAGATTGTGTATTAACAGAAGCGTATCTAATCAATAGAACTCCTACAGTGGCAAATAGTGGAATCACTCCATACGAGTTACTTTTTAAGAGAACATCAAACTATGAGCACTTGAGAACTTTTGACTACTCGTGCTACAAGAAAAATGACTCAAAGAGAATCAATAAATTTGATCCCAGAGTTGAAAGGTGTATTTTTATTGGTTATCCACAAGGACAAAAAGGATGGAAAGTTTACAATCCAAAGACTCGTTAATGCTGCATATCGAGAAATGTAGTGTTTTATGAGTATATCTTTCCTTTACCATGTGCAAGACAATAATGAATCTACTAATTTTAGAAATAACTCATCAAGTGATAACTTCAATATTGAGTCTTCACTCTATAATGATGCATAATTGGAAGTACCAAGCCTTAGAGAAATTCGTCATAATGACCAAAGATCGGATCTTATAGAAAGTTTACCCATTAAGGAGCCTGAATACACAAGTTAAACTGAGGGTGAGCCTATAGAACAAGAACATGTATCCATAAATGATGTGAAGGAGGAATTCACCAAGGATTCTAAAAAATAATCATCAAGTGAAAGTGAAGGAGAAGTCTCAAATGACGGGGAGCCTCATAACATGCCACACATAAGACGACCTCTAAATTATCTAAACAACTATGATTGTGGCAAAATAAACATAAACTCCAAGTGCATGTCATCAATTCAAGAATTCTATTCAGGTATCACCTATCCCATCTCAAAATTTTTAAACTATTATAAGTTTTCACAAAAATATAGAGCTTATCTTGCAACCATCACTAACGACAAATAACCTCAATCATATACTCAAGCATTCAAAAAAACATTTTGGAGGGAGGCCATGACTTAAGAAATCAAGGCTCTAGAAGACAATGAGACATGGGAACTAACTCATTTACCGCAAGGGAATAAAATTGATAGGATGTAGATGGTTGTATAAGATCAAACATAAAGCTACATATGAGATTGAAAAGTATAATGGCAGATTAGTTGTTAAATGTTACACACAAATAGAAGGTGAAGACATCAATGAAACTTTTTCAGTAGTGGCCAAAATGACCACAATCAGATGCTTGTTAACAGTTGCAGTGGAAAAATGATGTAAATCACATATAATGGATGTTAGCAATGCCTTATTGCATGGAGAATTGACATAAGAAGTATATATGAGTCCTCCACAAGGATATATAGTTCCAAAAAAAAAATTTGGTATGAAGATTAAAGAAGTTATTGTATGAATTGAAAAAAGCATCTAGAATTTGGTATATCAAGCTATCTCAATCTTTAATAAAATATGGTTTCCAAGACAACCAGTCTGATCATAGTTTATTTACATATTCACATGGATCAATTTTTCTTGTTGTTTTGATCTATGTTGATGACTTGATCATTACTAGTAATGACCTTGAGGACTACGATCAGTTCAAGCAATATCTCAGTCAATGTTTCCACATGAAGGATCTTGATTTTCTTAAGTACTTCCTAGGCCTGGAACTAGCACAAGGGTCAGAAGGGATATTCCTTTGTCAAAGAAAATATACCTTATACATGCTACAAGAATGTGGAATGCTTGGTTGTAAGCCTTCTTTGTTTCTGTCATACCCTAATTTTTGACCCTAAGATCCCACCTCTTTGTGCGTCATATTGCATAACATATTTAGGTCATACGGGATTTGTGTGCGTGCTTATTATGACTAACCAGTTTGTGCAAGTGCAGTAATTTCAAGTGGGAATAGTACTCATTCTCACAGTCAAGCATTTCAGGGAATAACCCTTCTAATTCGAAGAGCCCTAAGGTTTTCTACTAGTTTGAATCTCTGGTTTCATTAAAGATCAATTCAACTGGTTCTCTTATGAAATTAAGGTTTAAGCATACTCTTATCAAGGATCAAAGGTCACTTCCCTCAAAATTTCTCAGAAGCTTCCGGGCATACTAAAAGAATTAGGGTTTTCTGTCTGTTGGTGTTGAACATGATCAGTTGAGGATTGGTTATGGGTTTCATTGCAAGTTACATTACAAGTGGTATTTCAAGAGGTTCCTCATACATAGTGCTTGTGTTTGTCCAAAGGATTGTTTGAATTTTTTCAAAGTGTTTCATGTTGGATTGAGATCTTATATGATTGATTTATGATTTAATTGAAGACTAAGGCTAACAGTCATGGATTAAAGAATGTTTCAAGTAGCATCAGGTTCTTAAGTCAAAGGTAGAATAGTTTTCGTGTGGTTTTTTCTCATGGGTTCAAGTAACAAGTGGATTTTTTTCATAACCATTATCTACACTTTCAAAACCATTATCTATTCTTTTCATAACCACTTTTCTACCCAAAACCATTTACCACTTTCTATACCACATCCATAAATCAATATCCAAACCATATCCATAAATTATTCTATATTTGGTTTAAAACTCCATGCTCATTTTTTTCTTATATTAAGTACATTATTCCAACATGTCCATAAAATCCAAGATTTGAAAAAGAAAGAAGAAAAGAAAAGTTACAAGTTCAAGTCAATTCACCAAATTCAAAGCATGACAAAGTTCTATCCTTACAATTCAAATTCAAGATCCAAGAAAGTTCAAAATTCATCACGAGTTCGTTCACCATCCAAAAATCTAATTTGCAAGTTCAAAGGAATGATTTTGCCCAATAACATTTTCATGATAAAAGTGTGCTAATTGATTTCAAAGCTTATGATTTCAAGATTCATTGTTGAGATACTTCCCAAGTTTAAACGCACAAAAAAATACATTCCCTCCATAGTACCATAACTCGTGCATTCTTTTTCTTGCATACAAGTGATGACCAAAAGTTTAATATAAATCCTAACGAAATTCACAAAATAGTTCATTCTAAATTTGTTTCTTGTTTGGAGTTGTGTAGTCTTATTGAGATTTGAAGCTCTTGATTCAAATTCACCTTAAAAAAGGATGATTCC